ACACACACCCACACACACCCACACACACCGACACACACCGACACACACCGACACACACCGACACACACCGACACACACCGACACACACCGACACACGCCGACACACACCGACACACACCGACACACACCAACACACACACACACACACCAACACACCAACACACACCAACACACACACACACACACACACACACACACACTCTCTCTCTCTATATATATATATATACACATACACATACACACATGCAAAACATACCTACGTACCTACATACATACACATACCAACGGTCAGAGATGCAACATAGATGCACGCTTGGTAAAGCTGCGCCTCAACTCAAAACCTTGAGACCGGCAGCATGCGGCATCTGGCGCCATGCAGACGGCGGTCTTACGTCTGCATCGGTCATGAGGGCGTCACCTGCCCAAGACTCCACTGCGCCCCTTCTTCAGGGAACCTTACCCAGGATCCCTGCTACCATAAGTCGGAATGGATGCAAAGTTATGCCTCCAGGCACAAACGCGGCAGAAGTAAGTACACCGGTGGCCGAACAAGACATGCTTGAAGTGACACTGCTTACACAGCATGCATACCACACTGCCTACTCACCCGCTCATCGGGCCAGGAAATGAGCCAACGCTCGAAGTGACATACGGGACATCATTGCGTTCTGCCGAAATAGCACATTCTTTGCAACTCGTCCGCTAGATGGACACTTGTCTAGGTGCGGGGTTGCTAAGATCTCCATGCTTCGGACGTGCATGCTTGGTGCTGCTGAACCACCTCCCCAAATCAACCCTGAGCTTTGCACACCGAAGCTGTGAACCGCACTCCCGAACCCCAAAACATCCGGAACATCCCAAAATCATTCAGATCCAATGCCAGACTCTCACATCCCAATGCCTAGCCCACGGTCTCGTTGCAGTTTGCTGCTCGAGGGCGGTGCCAGTGGGTGGAGATGCGCCGGTTTGGGGCTCCAAGCAGGAAACGCCATGGCGCAGCTCCCTAACTGGAACCCTTAAGGGTTTACTGTAAGGTTTAGGGTTTTTAGGGTTTAGGGTTTAGGGGTTTAGGGTTTAGGGTTTAGGGTTTAGGGTTTAGGGTTTTTAGGGTTTAGGTTTAGGAGTTACCTCCTTAAGGGTTCCTTCGCCGGTTCTTTGAAGGGTTCCTATCAAGGGAAGCCGAAACGGAACCCCTGAAGGACCCTCTTTGTATGTAGTGTAGGACTTTAGGTCGTGTTGGAGGCGATTGTTGTCATCGGCCTTGTCCTTGAACCCTTAGCTCCCAGTGGTTATGTCTATTATCACTCTGCCTCTTGTGATAAATATCTGGTTGTTATTGCTCATCTACCTATGTATAGAAGATCTGTCCGACGAAGGATATGGCACTAACCTTGCATAAGAAGAGGCCCCATCATGAGCGGATCATACCAATGACGGCCGGAGAGTCGGATTAAAAACACTAGCCTAAACCCTAAACCCTAAACCCTAAACCTTAAACCCTAAAACCCTAAAACCCTAAACTTTAAACACTAGGCTCCAAGGAGATGTTGAGGGGCGGGGAGCCCGAGCCGAACGTGGGAGTCCCACTAAAGGACTCGAGGCTTGGCCCATGATACGTGAAACCCCTTTGGGTTTAGGGTTTAGGGTTTAGGGTGATACATGAAACCCCTTCCTGTGATGGCCTCACTCTTCGGATTTCTGGGAGGAAATCGTCATCCGGGGAGGGAAGGAGTTTGTGAATCCGGGGTCTATAGTGTTCGAGCGAAACATCAGTGATAATGCTGAGCCTACGGTTCGTAAGGCTTGAGGCTGGGTTGAGGGTTATAGGGTTTATGCGCGCGGCGGTGCAATGCTTTGGGGCTTTGACTGATGCTTGGGAGCTTGTGGGCTGCAACGTGCATCTCTGGACCGTTGTGCTTTCGCAAGAAGCTCATCGAGAGTGTGAGCCCACTGCGGCAAGTCGAGCAGACACTAAAGCTAAACCCCCAAAGTCTGACCCCAAGAACCTGACGAAAGAAGCCAAGACCTACTGCCACGCTGCAACCCGGGTCGCCTGAACCCGACCCCAAACTGGGGTTGTTCAAGAGACGACGAAAGTCACCGCAACATAGCCAGAGCAATTGCAACCTGTCTATCCAACAACACTTATAGGGCTTGAGTGAGCCTAACAAACCAGAAAGCATGTATCAACACCTCCAAAAGCTTCTGAAAGCCGACTTACACTGATTTACACCCACAACTACACCCTTCTTGCCCAGCCGCAAGGCGCTTCTGCTGCAGAAGCTTCCATGCGATGCGCTTTGCCTCTCACGGCATAAGTCTAGCGGCCTCCATAATGAGAAATAGCCTCTTGTGTGATGGGGCCATCTTCTTTGGATTGCTTCCTGCGGGATATTGTGGCTGCCTTCTATCTGTGATAGTACATGCGATGACCCCTGCATGTGGCTCCCCAAAGAACTCTGCCCCCCCAAGCCCGAAGAAACGAACCAATAAACCTCCAAGCTCCAGACGAACATCGGCAGGCCTAACGAACCCCTGAGACCCTTCTAGAAACCATAGGGGGATTTCCGAAAATAGGGGACCCTAATATAGTACCCTAAATAGTAGGATCCTTATTACAAGGACCCCAAAATAAGGTACCCCCTATTTTCGGAAACTCCCATAGAGGAACGCAAGACCAAAGGAAGCTCATTGGTGCTCGTCCTCGTCCTCTTCTAACATGCCATTGCCGTTGAGGTCGAAGCTGCGACAATCGAGAAAGGGCTGTTTAGGGTTCAGGGATGTCTGGGCGTCAGCTTTAGGACTGCGTAGAGGGTTTTCTCGGGTAGGTTTAGGGTCTTTTACTTCGATGCGCTTTTTTTAAAATAGGATTTCTGGGTTTAGCCTTACAGGTTGGTTGGTCTCAAACCCAGGTTTTGTGAGATTTTCTGGTTCAGGCTTACTGTACACGCTTTTTTGGGCTTTTGGAAGATGGTCGGCTTGTTGCATGGCAAAGAAGTCTCAAGAAGCTTTCTGGGCTCTTTTGTTAAGCAATTAATTGAATTACGTTGCCGCAATAAAGATGTCATAGAATTCACTGATATCCCCCAAAACGACAACATCCCCAAAAGCCTGTATGTAGCAAGAAGCCCAAAATCCCAATTGGTAAACGACGCCCTAAACCTCTCGCAGAACCGTTCAATTCTGGAACCCATGAAAGAAACTTAGAGCAACCCTTGCCCTCCGGGGGCCTATCGATGACCAAGTGGGCGCCATCAAAAATCCAGGGAGGTAAGCTCAGAGCTTGAGCGATAGAGGGGAAGATCTCCTGCAGTCTGGGGCTGTTGGGGCTGGGTTTTAATTCTAAGGAGTCCTTTCATATGGGGGCCTTACTAATTAGAATGGGGTTCTGGTGTGTTTTATACTATGGGTTCTGAGTTTAAGGATTCCTTTCATTAGGGGCCCTTACTAAACAGAGTAGAGTTTTCGTGTATTTCAACTTATAACTGTAACAAGGAACTCCCAAAATAGTATTGGTAATTCTTTAAACCCCTATATTAAGTGCTTGTGGGGTTGCATTTAAAGGCTCCTTTGAGGGTCGACGAGGGAGTGTAGGCTTCTAGGGTTTGAAGGATCTAGAATCTACAAGGGATGTAGGTTTGCAACAGGGGTTAGGAGACTGATCTCCTGAAGTGGATTTGAGGTTTAGGGATTCTGAAGGATTGCATTGATTTCGGGATGTTTAGCATGGGGGCCTTCAAGGTGATTTGGGGCAGTCTTTGGTGAAGGGGTGTTGGGGGTTTTTGCATTGTGCTCCCACGGTCGGCACCAGCCAAATGAGGTTCAAATTTTTGCGGTTCGCCGGATTCCAAGTATATTTTCTCTGGACGCGGTGTAGGGCTTTTGGTTTACCTCGGCAAAAGCACTGATTCCCAAGCAATCGACAATTCAAACTCAGAGGGGCTTCAGATGATCTGCACCGAACGCCGCAGCAATACAGCAACATGACTAGAGCCTGAGCCCAGGGTGCCCTTTTTGAAGGTCCTTTTCAAGGGAAAGACAAGGCTAGTCGGCATCATGTTAAAGACAATAGCTAACGCATAGCCACTAAACAAAAAATCAAAACTTCGCTAAGACACCTGTCTCTTATCCCCTTGCTGCCTTGCAACCCTAACTCTTGCCCGAAGACCCTTTTGAACAAATATCTCGAACCATCGAACAGGGGCCTAGATGATTGGCCAAGGTCTTGGGTGCGTGTTATGACGACGTTTTACAGCTTTGGTGAATAATTGTACTGCCCATTGCTGAGGCACCGGAGTAACCAGCCAGCCAAAAACTGAGTCCTACCAGAAACTCACGCCCAGACAGCTCGATAAAACTAGAAACCACCAAGGCCTAACGCGAAAACCTCTACATCGATGCGGTCTCTTCTGCCCTCATCAAACAGGGCGCCTGAAGATCAGTGGCTCCTGGGCGTCGCCCCGCAGTCCCAACACGCTGCTCCAAATTCAATGCTTCGGCGCTACAAGTATCATTATAATAAGGAACCCGAAGGACTAGTATTTGTAATTATTTAGGCTTCTATCTTTTGCTGGAAACGTCGGAGGTGTGGGTGCAAAGTGTGACAACTGAAAGGGGTCGCCTTGATTTCCCATAAGTTGCGGTTCAAAAGACAGGAAGCATCCTTTGAAACTCCACCACAATCGTAACCAAGTGGCATGAGTCAGGGTTAACGGGGTATAGTCCCGAAGTTCTAGGACTTGGTGGGCTCTTGTGGTGAGATTTGTATCCCCAATCATCTTCCCTATAACCCAAAAGCCCACGCAGGCTCAACTGGACTGGCGGGAACCCTGGCAGCTGAAGTAGTTTTCCTGAAAGGAGGCTCCTAACCTAATAAACCCCTAAACCCCCAAACCCCTAAACCCCCAAACCCCTAAACCCCCAAACCCCCAAACCCCTAAACCCCCAAACCCCTAAACCCCTGAGAGCGGGGCGGATGCCAGTATGATGCGAAGGAAATCTCCTGTAGAATCTGGAGACCTCGGCTCGGGGGCTTTCGGTTTAGTTGGGTCTTTTCGGCGGCGCTCCGTTGTGAAGTGAGGGTTTAGGGTTTAGGGTTTAGGGTTTAGGGGAACTTTAAAGGACTACCTGTAGTCTCCATTGTAGTTCCTTTTTGGGGATACTTTATAGA